TTTTAACACTTAGGATTGTCTTCTTTCTGTACTGTGACAGCATTAATTCAATTAATTTATTCAATTCAGTTTTATTTATATAGCGCCAAATGACATCAACAGTCACCTCAAGGCGCTTTGTATTGTAAGGTAGACCCTACAATAGTACTTTCAGAGAAAAACCCAACAATCATATGACCCCCTATGAGCAAGCACTTTGGCGACAGTGGGAGGGAAAAACTCCCTTTTAACAGGAAGAAACCTCCGGCAGAACCAGGCTCAGGGAGGGGGCTCATTACAACAAAACTATTTGTCTTCTGGGTTTTATTCAGTACTGACGTTTAAAGTTACATGTTTGTGTGTGCGCTCAGGTGTCCGATGGGAGTTTGACGGTGCTATCCATCACCCGGGAAGATCGGGGGGCCTACATGTGTCGAGCCTTCAGCCCCCAGGGAGAGGCTATTCACACCACACGGCTGCTAGTACAAGGTAAGGAATTTTAAGGATTTCCAATATTGCATCTTCATTCTGTCCTGTGGTCCTTCCCTTGGTGATTTCATTAGGAGTTATGAAAAGTAGATGTTTTTTTGTATTTTACAGTTTTACAGGGAAGGTTTTTAAATAGACGAGTCCAAATATCTCACACCAAAATGAAAGTCAGTCATAATTGTTAAACTTGGTAACATTTTAGGATGTGGAAATATTAGAAACATTGTGGCTCCATAGTGTAGTGGTTTACACATTTGTCGTGGTGTGAAAACAGGGCACGTGGTGTGAAAATCATCCAAATCACACACGCAGAGCTTCCTGCTGAAGCGACTCTTTGGGAATAAGGGAGCAGCCAAAAGTAAAAGTCATCAGTATAACATTGAGGTAGATTAGTGGCAGTGGTAACCAATTTACATAAAAGGTCAGATTTGCTTGAGCCGTGTCCTCCCCGGAAAGCAACATTTAGATTACAAATGTTGTAATCTAAATGATCTAAACATTTAGATCTTCAGCTCAAGAGTTGGGAGTTCGCCTTGTAATCGGAAGGTTGCCGGTTCGAGCCCCGGCTTGGACAGTCTCGGCCGTTGTGTCCTTGGGCAACTTCACCCGTTGCCTACTGGTGGTGGTCAGAGGGCCCGGTGGCGCCAGTGTCCGGCAGCCTCGCCTCTGTCAGTGCGCCTCAGGGTGGCTGTGGCTACAATGTAGCTGCCATCACCAGTGTGTGAATGTGTGTGTGAATGGGTGGATGACTGGATATGTAAAGCGCTTTGGGGTCCGTAGGGACTAGTAAGGCGCTGTATAAATACAGGCCATTTTAGATTATACTTAGGTAGATTTGTGGCTCGTCCATCTGCTAATTCAAGTTTCAAGTTCAAGACTAACTAGCACAGTAGGGAAATATGGATTCAGAGCTAAGTGACGTATCAGGACATTCTAACGAACGATGAGTTTTCTCAGCATAGACCAATCCTGACTAGACTCAAGAGAGCAGGTCATGAAACTCTAACACACTGGGAATTGGATCAGCTGTGCCTACAGTATTGGGAAGACAAAAGCGAGCACACCATCAGAATACAAATGATAAGGATATTTGTAGAATTATTACACAAATTTATCTTTTCAGCCAAATTGTGAGGATGGACTTGCCATTGGCGATGAATCATTTTTCAATAAATTTAGAGCCAGATTGAAGTAAAACTTGCAACTTCACACTGACGCACATCTGTTAGCTTTAGCATATTTTTAAAAGTCACTGAGAAGTGTCAGAACAGGATTTATTAGGTAGTATCAGACGTGGGGAATATGCTCCTGCAAGATTGTGATTTGTGACTTTTCCTTTTTTTTTTTTTGAGAAAACATCAGTGTCACACTGTGAGACACTTTCAGTCCAAAAGCACACGTCCCCCTCCGTTACCTGTCACACACAGAAACTAAGCACATTGCAAAACCAGCCAAATTTGTTGGTCATTCATCTCAGAGCCTAAACCTCTGCACCATTTTCTATGCAAAACCATCCCCCACAGCAACAGACAGATAACAGTGAGTGTCTATTTGGGTATATTAAACATTTGCGTTGCTTTTCAGTGCTGTTTATGACACATACTTGCCATGTTGATCCTTTCACAATTTCATTGTCATTCTGGGTTGTTTTCTCCTGTCACTGCATATTAGTAGATCATGACATCACACAGAAAACTATGGTACATATGCTTCTTTTGCTAAAAATAGCACCATTCCATCAGGGAAGCAGGATCAATCCATTTCTGTGGGTATGTGGGGGTAAATGTGGTATCAGCAGGTGGAGTTTGGATGGGCTCCCATAATGGCCAATCACGTCAGCTCCCTTTACTGCCTTTGAAATGCAGCATATGGTTTAATGATGGTCAGTCTGTGGCTGCTTTGCTGGAGAAAACTGCTCTGCTCTCAGAGATGCAGAGGCACAGCACAGATACATTACATTGAGAATTTAAAAATATGACTTTGGGGCAGACAGATCTATTTTTGAATTAAATTCTTTGTCTGGTTTTAAAGATAAAGTGATATTACTTTATAGAGGCTGGTGATTTAACTGTGAGTTTGTGATCACGTCAGTGTTTGAATATTGATACATTTTAATGTGTGTAGATTCTACTGGAGAGAGCAGCAACTAAAGAAAGATGAGAATTTCTATGTTTAACATGTTGCTTCAGAAATAATCACATAAGTAAATAGCATGTTACCAGATAATATGCAAATATTATAATATCATAATTCAGTTTGCTGACATGAAAACATATCAGATCACTGTGGCACATCCCCTCTTGTTTTCACTGGTCTCTAAATATCTGGAAACTGAGGCGAGTTGTTGGACTTTTTGGAAAGGAATGTTGTCCCATTGCATGATAGAGGATTCTAACTCCTCAACACTCCTGGGTCATCTTTGTCATATTTTTCATTTCACGATGCACAAAAATCTTTCGATTGGTGAGACGTCCGGACTACGGGGAGGTCAGTTTGTACCCTGGCACTTCCACTACAAATCCATGCTCCTGTAATAGATGAAGTATAGTTTTGCATTGTCTTATAGGAGGTCTCCCAGAAAAGCTGTAATCTGGATGGGCGTATATATTGCTCTAAAACCTGTCTAAACTTTTCAGCATTGATGGTGCCTTTGCAGTTATGGAAGTTGCTTAATTCACTTATGCACATGTACCTTCATGTACTCGATGCATGGCGTTTGAACTGAGCCCTGATAACAAGCTGGATGGTCCCTCTCCTCTTTTATTCAGGACATTTGGCATGCATGTTCTCCAACAAAAACTCTACATTTCAATTTGTCTGACGAGAGAACTGTTTTTCACTTTGCCTAAGTCCATTTTTAATCGAGTTTGGTTTCTGAAGTTCAAGTTTCTGGATCATGTTCACATATAAGGTCTTCTTTGCATGAAAGACCTTTAACCCTATATTCATGGGTGGCACACCAA